ATGGTTATGTCATGCCTCGTCAACTCAATGGCACCATCGATTAGCAAAATCTATCTCTTCATGGCGACAACAAAGGACTTATGGGATAGTGTTCAAGAGATGTACTCCGACACGGAAGATTCATCCCAAATTTTCGAAATTAAGACCAAACTTTGGAAGGCAAAGTAAGGGGAACGGAGTGTCACTGAGTACTATATGGAGATGACCTCGTTATGGTAGGAATTGGACCTAAGTATGGATGAAACATGGGATTGCCCCAGTGATAGTATGAGGTATAAGAAGAGGATAGAGAACGAGCATTTGTATGAATTTTTCGCTGGTTTAGACAGGGAGCTCGACGACGTGAGAGGTCGGATTCTCAGCCATCGGCCACTGCCCTCCACTTGGGACGCCTTTGTAGAGGTACAACGTGATGAGAGTAGCTGGTTGATTATGTTGAAGAAAGAAGGATTTGGGCCTGAAGAACGCGTGGATGGCTCAGCCCTAATTTCTGATTCTATTGGGCCAGTTGGGCCTCATGACTTTGGGCCTAAAGGAATTGTAGCCAAGACTAAGAAAAATTCACACAATGGGCCTAAATATGGCGGGCCTATTTTGGAAACCCAATTTCAGACAAAAATATAAACTTTACGTATGGACAACGGTACTGAGTATTTCAATAGTACACTAAGAACCTATCTCCAAGATAAAGGAATCATTCACCAGAGTTCTTGTCTTGATACTCCCCAACAAAATGGGGTTGCGGAATGAAAAAATAGACACTTACTTGAGGTGGCCTAGGCCCTATTGTTCACTACAAATATGCAAAAACAATTTTGGGATGATCCTATTCTCACATTAACATACCTCATTAACAGAATGCCTAGCCGTACTCTGAATTTCGAAACCCCTCTTCAAAAGTTCTAGAATTTTTTTCCTAACATAGACTCACCTCCAATCTATCCCTAAAAGTATTTGGGTGTACTGTCTTTGTCCACACACATTCCAATCATCGCAACAAACTCGAGCCCCATGCCATTAAATGTGTATTCATTGGATATTCGTCTACGCAAAAGGGGTATAAATGCTATGACCCAATCACAGAAAAACTATTTGTCAGTCTTGAAGTCACTTTCTTCGAAAATAACCCTTACTTTCAACAAACCTCTCTTTAGGAGGAGATCCTACTTAACAATGAAGATCAGTTCTTAGAAATATCCCTTAATCTTGATCCATCTAACACCATCCCAAATATTGAATTTACACCACCAAGCTCCAACTCTATCCTACATAGTCTATCGACATCACCACCATATTCCAAAGTACCATTTATAGAAGATAACTTAAACTCAAGGGGAGAACAGAAAGAATAACATGACAAAGAGATGACTATGCGCTCACGAAAGCCAAAATCAAAAGGATAAGGAGAAACTCACACTCGAGGCACCAAGAGAATCAGAACCAATAATATTTCCAAATCCTCATGAACTCTCTCCAAAATCTCCTGACATTGATGATTTACCAATTGCTCTTAGGAAACAAACTCGGTCATGCACTGTTCACCCTATCTCAAAATTTATTGCTTATAATACTCTATCTCCAAAATTTAGATAATTTGTGCCTAACCTTGATAGCATAGAAATTCCAAGAAACATTCAAGATGCTTTGAAAATTCCCAAGTGGAGAAAGCAGTGATGGATGAAATGAAAGCTTTGGAAGCAAACAAAACCTGGGATGTGATGGAACTTCCGGAAGGAAAGAAACGTGTTGGGTGTAAATGGGTGTTTAATGTGAAATATAAAGCAGATGGAACGATCGAATGGTACAAGGCTCGTCTGGTTGCAAAAGGATATACTCAAACCTATGGCACAGATTACACAGAAACATTCGCACCAGTTGCAAAATTGAATACAATCCGAGTTATCATATCACTAGTAGCAAATATGGATTGGCAGCTCCCACAGCTTGATATTAAAAATGCATTCCTGAATGGAGAGTTGGAAGAAGAAGTCTATATGACACTACCACCTGAATTTTCCAAGGAAAATGAAGGAAATAAAGTATGCAAAGTAAAGAAAATCACTATATGGCCTAAAACAATCACCTAGCGCATGGTTTGACAGATTCGCGAAGGTGTTAAAAGGACAAGGATACCAACAAGGGCAATCAGATCATACTATGTTTTTCAGATTGTTCGAAGATGGGACAAAGACTATCCTAATTGTCTATGTTGACGACATAATTCTCACCGAAGTTAATGCAGTTGAGATAGAATGGCTAAAAGGAAGATTAAATGCAGAATTTGAAGTAAAAGACCTGGGACAAATGCGATATTTCCTAGGGACGGAAGTTGCTAGATCAGAGAAAGGGATCAGTATGTCACAACGAAAATATATTCTAGATCTCCTTGTAGAAACTGGTATGATTGGGTATAAATCATGTGATACTCCCATGGACACGAGAAGGAAAACAGATAATACTGGAGAATTTGTTGAAAAGGAGAGATATCAAACACTGATGGGAAAATTAATTTGCCTATCTCATACTAGACCAGATATTGCATTTGCAATAAGCGTGGTAAGCCAACACATGCATGTTCCAAGGGAAACACATTTAGAAGCAGTAGACAAGATTCTGAAATACCTGAAAGGCTCCCTTGGAAAAGGACCACTATTCAAGAAAAATGAAAAAAGAGAGGTAGAAATATTTACCGATGCTGACTGAGCTGGAGCAACACAAGATAGGAGATCAACCACTGGCTATTGTACTTTTGCATGGGAAAACTTAGTAACGTGGAGAAGTAAGAAACGGAATGTAGTATCCAAACGTAGCGTGGAAACAGAGTTTAGAGTAGCTGCTCAGGGAATATATGAAGGTTTATGGTTGAAGAAACTGTTAGATGAACGACATATTCTACAAAAAATTCCCATCGAACTCTACTGTGATAATAAAGCAGCTATTGACATTTCACTTAACCCAGTTCAACATGATAGAGCAGAACATGTAGAGGTGGACAGACATTTCATCAAAGAAAAAGTCGAAAGTGGAACTATTTGCATGATTTATATCCCTATCAGAAAATAAGCTGCAGACGTATTCACCAAAGGACTACAGAGATAAATATTCGATGATTGCATTTGCAAATTGGATATGATCAATATCTATAATCCAACTTGAGGGGGAGTGTGGAAATCACATACCAATCATACTTCAATTATGGGATCTTGTAATATTTGTAATTTGGAATGTTTAGAGCTAATTTAGGAATAGAATATTATCTTTCCTTTCTTCATCCATTGTATTGTAGTATATATTGAAGGAGAATTGTAAGAATTATGTACAATTGAAAATTAAAAACTCTCTGTTCATCATTTCTTTACTTTAATTTAAATTTTTAGAACCTTGGTGTTCAAACTACCATGGGTGAGTCTATGCATTGATTTATTTGCCCCTACTTGCAGGCATTTTAATTGGTTACTATCATTTTTTTTTTCAATGCCCTTCTTTGTACCATGCAAATTGATTTTGATGCGAACCCTTCTAAGCGTCAGAGAATTTCTTCGCATAAGGATTTAGGCTCTAGTGAACCTAGATGGGCTAGTTACATTCCTGTTGGAGATTCAATCACTCAGCCTATCCCCAAGGGTCACGGGACCGCAATCCCCCTGTTGCTAATGTTTCGTTTCTAGGGTCTTTGCTCATAGAAATTACATCTTTTGGCTTGCCCATCTGTGCTGGAATAATTAAAAGAGAAATGAAAATAGTTAAGTGGATTCTAGTAAAACTTGTTCTTAAGAATTTTTTCCTCCCTCAATTTTCAGGGATTTTATCCACATTTCCTCCTTTTGTCACCGTAATTGGTAGGTTGTGTTACACCTATTTTAATCAATCCTAGGAGAAAATGGCTAAAGACCTTACTTCTGCACAAAAGGAAGAATCGATTGATGTTCATCTTTCTTGAGCCGCGATATTACTCCAAGATCAGCAAGTTGAGTATGAGCTTTGCATTAACCGACTCAATAGATTGAATATGAAGGTCTGAACCTTGGAAGAAGAATATAACATACTCCAGGTGGAACTGGATATGGTTGAGGAAGAAATATCATGATATAAAAATATGTACCAAAGTGCTGAGAAATATGCTAAGGTAGGAACTGTTCTTTTAGCTGATATGAGGAGACTCACTTCAGATTTGTTGCAGACTTGGGTAGACAATGGAATGTTACACTGAGAAATTACCAAGCTGAAGGAGGAACTTCAAACACTACAAGAATTTTATGTTTTCCCTACAAAATATTCCCATGGGGAAAGGTTCTTATTTGTGGCAAAAAACCTTCGTAGACAAAAAAATTTTGTAGCTGAATTTGTGGGGCAAACATCAATGGGATAGATAAAAGACGACAATTTTTTGAAATTCATGAACTAAAGTTTTTCTCTATGAATCTTTTGGAGACGATTACAATTCATCTAGTAACCCCCCCCCCCCCCCCCCCCCAAAATCATTTGTTTGCTAAAGTTAGTTTTGGCCCACGAAATGATTTTGTGGGCCCATGGTACAAATTATGTTATGGACTAAATCGTGCTTTTCCCTACAAATAAATTTTTATATGAAAAGTATTTATATGCTAATATATACATATTTGTCCCAACAATTAAAAATTTGCAGCAACATGATACAAATTATTTTGTAGGCTGAGCCCCTCTCTCTCCAACAATTTTTTCAAGTGGAAAATCATATATGTAGGCAATTATTTGTCTCAACAATGAAAGAATTCGTAGGAAAAATTAATTTCATTAATTTTATTTGTTATTTAGATTCTATTAATTTTTGTAAACCTTATTCAAAATAATATAAAGATGCAAAAATAAAATAAATTAATTAAGATATTTAGTGTCAATCAATGTATAGTTGAATCCAAAATATTCCACCAAACATAAATAAAAATCATTCACTAATTATGGTTACATCTAAATGTAAAAAGAGTACAACAACCATACATTGTATATATTGTTATGCAACTAAAAAAAATATAATTCTCATTATCATGAATTAGATATGCTGTTGATCCTCATTAAAGCTGTGTTCATCATCAAAGTTATTCTATTCGCACTTAGTAGCATCATCTTCCTCATTAGCATTATCCACCATTGACATTGGTATAAAAAATGATACAGAAAAGTCGGGAACTTTACCACATATATAGCTAATGTATAGAATAATGCCAAGAATGCAATGTAGAATTGAATTATTTTTCAACAACCTTTAGCTTGTTTTGCATCCTTTGCGCCATCTTCATCTAGCTGCATTGGCTATGCGTACATTGGAAGAAGTTGTATCAATGTCTTGAAGGTAACCATCTCTCAACCCACGAATTTGACGTTTAGGCTTCTTACCTAGAATATACATCATGATATTAAGTCTACTCTGATTAGCAAATTCTTTGATCTACATGTGGCAGTATTATTGCAGATGGGTAATCAATTCTTGTGTACCTTGTAATTTTATGAACCCATCAAATACAAGCCCAATGGAATGATGAGGTAATTTGAAACTTTCTCCTCTTATGTAAAATTCACCGTTGACCATTCAGCAACTAGCACTCTCAAATCTTGCATTGACATTTTATCGAACAACTGAGAAAGAAAGAACTTGGCTAGAATGATAACACTTTCCTGCAGCCAATGGAGTCAATCTTCTAACAATAGCGGAGATTCACTGTGCTTGAAGGACTACTCGCAAGCAGTGATATACTTTACCAATAAAATGTTGTGATCATTTAGAAAGAAAATAGCACGTGTCATTAGTTAAAACGCGTCAAATTGAAGAAATGTCCAATTCCACTACATATTGTTGCATCAAAGGGATGAAAAACAACGTAATTCACCTAAAATATTGGAGTTCAACAAGCAACAAAAGTGAGCAACAGAACTGAAAAGGTTCTTCAATCTAGAAAAAATGACAGTATCGTCATGCCTGCCAAAAGAAACCTTCTACTGTTGGATCAGATCCAACTGCAGCAAGTATCTTTTCTTTTTCAATGAAAAAGTGGAGTACCACATTATGTGATAATATCACAGATGTAAGGCTTTCCTGCAAATACTTCATTGATGTAGGAGGATTCGAGTCGAGTGATACTGATTTGTCAGATAGCATGATGATGGCGTTGAGATACCATGAGATGGCGGATCAGCGCAAAGATGGAAAGTGAATCGCCATTATTTCCTTAATTGGGGGAATTTGACGCATATTTGGTAATTTGGTCATAACTTTGGCTACGGTTATCGAAATCGCTATTATAACCCCAGCCCGAAAAGCTCTATTCGACGCACACGTCGTGGTCATCCAGCTATGCCCAGTGGATGTCAATTTTGTGCCCAAAATCCACTATTTTCCTTTCCAAAATTTAATTTTAAGTTATTTTTTACTATTTCTGGTAATATTTTGTTTCCCTTTTTCCATATGTTAGAAAATTCGAATTGAGCCAAATTTTTGGCAACTTACTTCTTTTACTTAATATTTTATTTTGGTATAATTTTGGGATTTTTCCATTTTTGGTAATTTTCCCATAATTTCGTATTTCGCAGCTATTTAACTCGACTTGTGGGTTAATTTTGAACATCCGGCATTATTAATAATATTGAGTTGAATTCAGAGTATTTTATCTGGTTTTTTGGACATTTTCTGTCGTTCTTTTCTTGCGAATCATCTGCTACAACAAGCCAATAGGATAATCACTATCCTACTCGGCATCATTCATACAAGCCCAAAGTTGAAGAACGTTAAAGTAAATGACAAACATATTTACCTGGAGAGCATCATGAGGGTAGTTCATCTCTTTTTCTTCCAATAAATCAATCTTCTCAAAATTATGACCATCTCAACCAAATGATTGAACACCGAGTATGTATTTGTCTAGTTTTCCCACACACAGTACCTATAAGTATTCAGTTTGAAATTATTAAGCAAGTCAAAATAATGGATCAATAATACACCTATCACCCTCTTCATGTGAAGGGAGACAACAATATTATTGTCTATAAATGTATCTGATTCTATTGATGAAGATTAAGAATCTTATTGAGAGAGAAAATTATTATCCACTTTCACAAATGCTATTTCCTACTCTTAATAACAAAGATTAGAAGCAGTCTATTACCAGGGAGCCTTACTTTCTGGCTAAACCTTTAAGGAAGCTGTTAATTGTGAAAAAAAAATAAAACAGAGTTAAATACACAGCCAGGTCCCGCAATGAAGATGTCAAATTTATTGCTGGATGTGAACTCATGCATGCCTAGTGCAAATATTGGCAACCCAATTTCAAGGTGCAGCCAAGTGAACAACGAAGCTAATCTTAGTCTTTAAGCGCATTGCATATGCCAAAACAATTTCACATGATTCACAGATGAATCATCAATACCACGATTTCTACCAAGTGCTAACTATAGGTAATGCTAATAAACATGAAATTTTGGCACACCACAAGTTTTTATATATAATTAAAATAATGGTACGGATTAAAAAACCGATGCAGTTGACTGATAAACTTATATTCAAAAACAACTTCATACTTATCTGCTTTTCCATTGCAAGAAATTGAAAAAGTATATCACAAAATTTAAGATTATTACTTATATTATCTACACAATTTATGAATAAATAGGATTAATGGGCATACCTTGACAACGGCTCGAAGAAGAACTCAAAATTTGTAGTAGATTCATGGACAAACGTTGGGATTGCAACCACAGTATTTACCAGAAAAATTGAGGTTAAACAAATTGGAACTAGTTTTCGCAACCACCGATCAATGAAGTTAAAGTGGCGAAGTGGGAAGAAAATTTTGGTGAAAAATCTTTGGAGGCAACAGTTTAGGATAGGAATTGTGTGGGTACGTGGGTTTTACATTTATCTTTTCTCTTTTTCTTTTCAATTATATACAAATGAAAATCAGATTGATTTTTTTATTTTTTTTGCTAATTATTAGCCTACAAACAAGTTAAATATTTTTATCAGAAAAAGATATTTATTGTCAGGAAAAAATATAAATTTTGTGGGCACAAGTCTTCCCAATAAAAAAAATTGAAGCAAATCATAGCCATACGAGATTTTTTTTTTTTTGTGTGGAAAAGTGATCTCTGTAGACAAATTCAAATTTGTCTCCAAAAATTTTGTAGGATAAGTATAAATTTCTTGTACTGATTATTTCCTTTCTATAAAAGATGGTACCCAGGCATAAGATGAACTGATTTTACTTCGTCAATGGTTAGAAAGTAGTAAGGTTAGACTTTCTAATGAGGAATCTGCAGTTGATGAAAGGAAGGTTTATGAAGCCAAATTTCTTGAGGAATCTACGCAAGAAGGAAAAAATATTATCAGAAAATTTCAACCTAAATGGAACATGATTTTTTCAGAGGTTCATGAGGAGAATGTCAGCGATACCTTTTCTTTCAAAATTCCTCCGCCAGCCTATATTGCTATTTATGTTTTCATCCATTCCATTGAGCCTTTTCAGCTTGTGGATCCTTATAATATTCCCCTATGTCAAGTCGCTGCTATAGCTGAGCTAGCTGGCGCTTATAGCAATTGATGACTTTTTTAGCCTTTTATCTAATTTGAAGAAATGTATTTAGCATCCTTGGATCCTCTATATTGTTTTTACTCTTTCTGATATATACATGAGTTTGCGTTACATTATTTACTTGCTTTGACGATGCATTTCGGTATCACTTTGCTTGTTTATTCATTTTGACTAACCATCCTATTTTGCATATTGGAAATTAATTTTGTAACTCATAAAATATCAACCATACAATGTTTTATTTATGTATCAAACATGTCATTGAAACGAAGAATCACAGTTTTTATTCAAAAGTACTTTTTCTGTGTAGCTACACTTTAACTTTTTCATCACGATGATTTGTAACTAAAGACAGCCATAAGCTTGCTTTACACATTGTGATTGGTATGGGATGAAATTTATTCCTACTTTCTTTGACGGAGTAATTCTCATCTTTTCACCATTTTGCTGGTAGGATGGCCCTCGCCTTTAAATATAGCTTTGTTGGTAGATAGAGTCTAGCTTCAAGCATAGTTCTTTCACAGAAAGATTCTTGCCCTCAATGATAGAAATAATGGCGGGATTTGCCTTACTAGTGATCTGAGTTTCGTAGTAGGCAAAATGAGGATCGCCTTTCAATTTTTTGTTCAAAAAATTCCTGCGACCGTGTTTCATGCCCAGCTTTGATTTCGCCAACTTCTCAATCTTGCTTCTGCCAGTAGATGGAAAACTATCTTTACTGGCAAAAAGATTTTTCAACCCAACTTTTTCACAGCATCGGATGTTTCCTTTCCTAAAAGAGGTTTTTTGAGCACGTTTCCTTCAATTGTTAAGGTGGCATTGATTAGTAGAGCCCTTGGGCCTACTATTCTTTAGGGTTTGGGGTAGCACTTTTGCACGGTTGATTGATCTCCTCTGACCATGACTATCCCTTTCAAAGTTTCAAATTTCAAAAATGGATGGTGGACAGAGAACGCAGCTTTTGCTATTTCAAGGAGGGCCTTCTAAAGATCCTATACACCCATTGTATGTAGACTTGCTTTCCATAATTAGGATGTTCATGTATCCGTGGAGTACAGTTGGGTCCTCACTTATTTCAATGGCTAATTTAATCTGTCCTCTAGGGATCAAGGCATCTCTAGTAAAGACATAAAGGGGTTAGACCATGGGTATCCTGGGATGTTCAACCTGTATTTGGTATAAAGCTTCAAAATAATATGTTAATAGAGCTACCATTATCTACCAGCTTGCAGCTAAGGCCGTTGCGAGCAATTGTATCTGGCACTACTAGTGCATCACAATGGGAATATATGATTCCCTGTTCATCATCATTAAAAGTTATTGAAAGAGATGCAGGTTGAAGGTTACCTGGATGCCCACTAAACTATCAGTTCCACCCAAGGGTCCTCACTTATTTCTATGGCTAATTTAATCTGTCCTCTAGGGATCAAGGCATCTCTAGTAAAAACATAAAAGGGGTTAGACCATGGGTATCCTGGGATGTTCAACCTGTATTTAGATGCAGGTTGAAGGTTACCTGGATACCCACTAAACTATCGGTTCCACCCACATTTTCTCTCATATATAGTATCTGATTCAAGTGACAACCGCTTGACCTAGGCAGAGAGAACATGCCCTTTAGTCTTCGGATGATAATATAAACCAATATAGTAAGGGACTGTACTACTTCTCTTTATGGTATTTTTATCATGCGATAGCATGTAATGTTCTAGTGCAATATATAATTATGCAATCAGCTAAATCAAAACAATAAAGAATTTACAGTTAATTAAATGTAACATGAAATTATTCGAGCCCAATCAAATTACGATGTCTCCGTAAGACTATTTTGCTCCATTTAGTGCTCAAAGTGACAAATACTTGTTTTCCATTATAGAACGAATTAATTGATTTTTTATTATGAATAGCTTGCTTTGATGTTAGTGTAAGAATTTTAATTAAAGATTGACTTGTATGTGTGAATAATTGTGTATTAAATTATAGGCTATCGAATTCGGTTGAGCCCAATTAAAGTGATCTAATAAAGCTTCGATTTTGGTCTTTAATGTATCAAATTAAAGAATGGGTTTACATATGTGCAGAGACCGGGCCCAAGTCCTAATTCTATGATGAGCCGAATTAGGTTAAAGGGCATCCCTATATAAATAGGTTATGGTCCCCAGATCACATGCAACGAATTATTCATTCTTTACTGCATCCCATCACAGAGATAAAAAGGAGACTGCGTGTAGATTTGGAAGATCATACCGCGAAATTCATATTGCATTAACCATGTCAGATTCAGGTATGCTTTCGCTTCAATTCTTATATTTCTCAATGATTTAACATGAAAGATTCAGTAATTTAAAAAACTAAATTATACAACAAGTCGTATCAGAGCCTCTTCATGTTAAATCATTGATAATCAAAGGTTTTAGTTTGGTCCTTGCAATATATTTTGAAATTTTCAGATTTAACAATTTTTGGTTATATGTTTTGTTAAATTTGAAAATTTTTGCGGTATAATTTTATTATTTTCGTTCGGATTTATTCAATTTAGAAAATTCAAATTTGGGTTCAGATTTCTGTACGTTAAAAAAAAAATATATTTTTTTTTGAAGATCTGGCCGATGACGGGTCTGCCTCCGGCCTCTGCAGCGGGGCTGCTGCGCCACGCTGCTGCAAAACACAGCAGCACACAGCAGCGCCCAGGCGCTGCTGCCTGTGGCGTCGGCAGGTGGCGCCGGCGTGCGCCGCCATCGGGAAAGAAGGAGAAATTTTTTTTTTTTTGGTTTTCTGAGTTTTGATTTTTTTGGGGACGGGGGCCTCTTCTGTAAATTAGATGATTTGAGGACCCTAGTTGCAATTATGGTTAGGGTTATAAAATTTAAGTTTCAGTCCCTAACCTTTAAGTTATATTAAGTTTTGTGCCTTTAAGTTTCGAATTTAATAATTCAGTCCCTAAGGTTTTAAAATTAATTAATTTGGGCCATTAAAGTTCTGAATTTATAATTAAAGTCTTCAAAATTTAATTATTAATTCAAATTGGCCCCCTAAGTTCATAATTAATTCAAATTGACCCCTAAAGTTTCAAAATTTTAAAATTTGATCCCTAAAGTTTTGAATTGGTCAATTTTGGCCCCTAAAGTTTAAAATTTGTTTTAATTGATCCTCTAAAGTATTGAATTAATTAAATATGGTCCATAAAGTTTCAAGTTTATTAATTTCAACCCCTAAAGTTTGGAATTAATTAATTTTGCCCTCTTAAAGTTTTGAATTATTAATCCTAAGGCCCCTAAAGTTTAAAACTAATCAAAATATGCAACATTGGTTATTCTCTTTCTCAAATTTTGGTATTAAAGACTCTTTTAAGAGATATAATATTCGAAAGTTAGTTAATTGAAGCAACATGTTGCCAAAGCAACCTCTCTTGTGAAAATTGACTAACTTAGAATGTTAAAAAGTGTTTGTGCACGTGTTATTTATGGAAATATTGGTCGGCCCAATGGAAGGTCAATCTTTAGCCGAATACACGTGCACCTGTGGTGATAAATGTGTGATGATTATTTGATTTAATGTGTGATCAATAAATCGGTCCAAAAAAAGGTTTATTGATTGACACGTTGTTTTATCGTCAATGTTTGATCACTACGCTAAGAGTACCGCTTACAAGTCAATATCTCTGTCCAAAGACTGGATATTGATGTTGTGCTTGGTATCTTGTGATGGGCCCTACCACTATTTGAGATTATTATTATTATTATTTGCATATTAAAGATATTCATGTGAGCTATCCATAATAAATGTTCTCTAATTCAGTTTTAAGTTCTGATGCTAATATCTCTGCTAGCATCAATTCAATTCCAATATTAAATGGCACAAACTTCAGGGAATGGCAAGAGAATGTTATGATTGTTCTCGGAGTCATGGACCTAGACCTTGCTTTACGGGTCGATCAACCTGCTGCACTTACTGATAAGAGTACCTCTGATGACAAGAGGGAGATGGAAATGTGGGAACGATCGAACCGCATAAGCTTAATGGTCATGAAGCGTGCTATTCCAGAAGCATTCCGGGGCACTATGTCCAATAAGGTAATTACGACTAAGGGTTTCCTTGAGGTGAGAAGAAGTTTGCCAAGAATGAAAAGGCTGAAACAAGTATATTTTTAGCAAATCTTGTCTCAATGAGGTATAAAGGAAAAGGAAACATTCGGGAGTACATTATGGAAATGTCTCACATTGCTTCAAAACTAAAGGCACTCAAGTTGGATTTATCTGAAGACTTGTTAGTGCACTTGATTTTGATATCTCTTCCGGCACATTTCAGTCAATTCAAGGTGAGCTATAACTGT